AGAGATTTCTCCCATGTCGAGGGGTCAGTACAGGTGGTGCGAATGAGCTGCTCCATGGTTTGGTTAACGCGTTCGGTCTGCCCGTCGGTTTGTGGGTGGTAGGCGGATGAAAATTGGAGTTTGGTGCCGAATTGGTCCCACAGGTGGCGCCAAAAATTCGATGTGAATTTTGGGTCTTGGTCCGAAATGATGGCGGAGGGCAGTCCGTGCAGGCGGATGATGTTCGCGATGAACAGCTGCGCAGTTTGTTCGGCGGTGATTGTCTGTTGGCAGACGATGAAGTGTGCCATTTTCGTGAGTCAGTCAACGACCACGAGGATGGCGTCGTTTCCGCTGGGACCGGTCGGCAGTCCTGTCACGTAGTCCATCGTATCGTGTTGCCAGGGTCGCTCGGGCGGATCCAACGGCTGTAGTAGTCCGGCTGCTCGCTGATGCGACGATTTCATAATCTGGCAGGCGGTGCAGGAGGACACGTACTTGCGCACGTCATCTGCCATGTTCGGCCAGTAATAATTCCGCTGCAGCATCTTCGTGGTTTTATCGACGCCGAAATGTCCTGAGGTAGGGTTGTCATGGGATTCCTGGATGAGCAGGGTGCGGAGTAAATCGTAGCCGGGTACCCAGATGCGAGAGGTACCGCGTTTATGAAAGTACGGGCCAGTAGCGGTGGTATGCTGTTGATGGATGGCGGAGCGGAAAAAGGGATCGATCTTGTATCCGTGGGTGAATAGTTATGTAAGTAATGGGTTTGACTGGGCGACTAGTATCGCGGCGGTATGGACAGTAGGGCGGGTCAAGGCATCGACGATATTATTGGCCCCCCATTTGTAGGTGATGGTGTAATGGAAATTTGACTCGAGGAAATCTAGCCATCGGATCTGTCGTGGGTTGAGGTTCGGTTGGGCGCGCAGGTACTGTAAGGATTTGTGGTCCATCCGCACCGTGACGTCAGCTCCGGTCAGGTAGCACCGCCAGGTTTTGAACGCGTGGACGATTGCCAGCATTTCCTTGTCGTGCACTGTATAGTTCTTCTCCGCGCCTTGCAGCTTCCGTGATTCGTATGCGACTGGTTGTAACCCGTCGTCGAAATCCGGTAGGAGAACTGCACCGATGGCGATGTCGCTGGCGTCGGTGACGACTTCGTATGGACGGTTGGGATCGGAGATGCGAAGGACGGGCGGCGATGTGAGGGCGATTTTGAGTTGATCGAATGCAGCTTGCTGCTTCTCACCCCACCAAAAACAATCGTGATCCTTTAATCGGTCGGTTAGCGGTGCAGATAATCCAGCCATATTGGGGATAAAGCAGCGGACGTAGTTGACAAAACCCAGAAAACTTTGGAGTTCCTTGAGGTTGGTCGGCGGCTTCCATTCCTGTATGGTCTTGATTTTCCTGGGGTCGATTTTCACGCCTTCGGTGGAGACGACGTGGCCCAAAAACTCCAACTCCTGCTTAAGAAAGTCGCACTTAGACCCTTTCGTGATGAGGCGATTCTTGTGCAGCAGCGTGAAGACTGCATCAAGATCCTTTAAGTGCTGCTCCCTGCTACGGCTGTAGATTAGGATGTCGTCGAGGTAGATAATTACGCATTTATCCAGGAGTTCGCGAAAAGCACCGTTCATGGTCATCTGGAAGGTCGAGGGCGCGTTCGTGAGTCCAAAAGGCATCACCAGGTACTCGTAACTACCGTAGCGGGTTCGGAAGGCGGTCTTGTGGCAATCCTCGGCGGCGACGCGAATTTGGTGGTAACCTCATCGCAGATCGATTTTCGAGAAGAACTGGGCTCCGCGAAGTTGGTCGAGTAGGTCGTCGGCTCGCGTGATCGGGTAACGGGACTTGATAGTGATGCGGTTGAGTGCGCGGTAGTCGATGCACATACGGAATCCGCCATCTTTTTTCGGTGTGAACATTATGGGGGCGGCGTAGATGTGCTTGGGCGGATAAAACCTTTCGTCAGGAGGTAATCCAACTGCTGCTGCAATTCCTCGAGTTCCGGTTGGCTGAGCCGAAATTGTCGCTGTACCGTCGGTTGTGCCCCTGGTTCCAGCTCGATGCGATGGTCTTCGGGTCGGCTTGGCGAAAGTCCGGCGGGTAGGTCGTCCGGGAAAATCTCGGGGTATTTTCGAATGAGTTGTGCTAAATCCGGAGGAACGGCTTCACACAGCTTCGTGATATCTTCCGCTGTTATCGGCGACGTCACTTCGCGAAAATCGATGGCGTATGCTGCTGCTCCCGCTTTTATCGCGCGCTTGAAGGTGATCGCGTGGACTTGGGTACTTCGCATGCGGGGTCCCCTCCATTTCGGTAACTCGTGATAGTGCCCATCGATCTTGATGCTGCAGCTGCCCGTCGTCCAGTCGATTCTCGGGTTGTACTGTCGCAGCCAATCTCGTCCCAGCAGCACGTCGCCCCCGTCGAGTGTAGTCGCCAGCAGTCCCATCCGAAATTTTACGTGCTCGCCGCAGTGGAAAATGACGTGCTCCACCCGCTCCCGTATAGCTAGCGGTGTTCCATCCACCAGTCTTGCGTCAATTTCGGATAGACACTTTAATAAGGGGATACCCATTTTCTTAGCCCTGTCGAGCTGTATGAGACTGTGACTCGCGCCTCCATCCACGAATATTTTCAGCAACACCCCGTTGACTTTACCCTCCACCAACACAGGGTGATCAGCAGTTTCGTCCCCCTTATTCGTCCGGGTCCGGTCGATTGCAGCAATCGGGATCACGACCCGGTGGGGACTGTGTGGTTCGGGCGAAGAAGCCTGCCCGTCAGTAAGGGGCCCGGTACTTACTGACGCGACCCATTTCCCGGTCGCTCCTCCGGCTTCTTCCCCATAGAATTCTGGATGGCGATGAACTCTTGGCAGTTGCGTTTGATGTGACCCGGTCGGCCACAGTGGTAGCATAGCCCCATATTTCGCGGAGCAACTGCGTAAATATCCACTGCGTCCATCCCTTTTATCGTGGCGCACTGTTACTGTTCTCGAGGGCGACCTCCGTCGTAGAAGTTCGTCCTCGGCTTCGTAGGCGAGTCAGCGGCTTCGGCGAGTTGGATGAAGTCTTGTAACCGCTTCGCTCGTCGTTGTAGTTTTATTTGGTACTGTATTTCAGGCTTCAGCCCGCCCATGTACCTGTCGACCTTCTCCAACTCGTGCATGTAGCCACATCGATCCACCAACGTCAGGAATGACGCGGTGTAGTCGGACACAGATCCCAGCTGCTTCCACATGCGTAAAGTCTCGCGCGCTTTGTCTGAGTCAGGAGCATGCTCGAACCGCTTGCGAAGCTCTGCGCACCACGTTGCCCACGTGCGAATGTGAGTTGCACCAAACAGCAAATCTGCTTCGTCTTCGTCGCCGAATTCTTCGGACCACTCATGCTGTCCTTCTGTGCGAGTTGCCGCTGAGTCGACGATGACCTTCCACCACTGTAGGGCGGCCCCTTGCAGCAGTGTCAACGCGTGGCTGATCCGCTTCTGGTCGTCTCGGATGCCCGCCGCGTTAAAATAAATATTCATGGCGAATATCCACTGCCGCACCGTCACGCCTTTATTAGCTGGGTCGAAAGGAGCGGGTTGCTGATATCTCGCGCCGCCACTTGTCGAGCGCGGGGCTGTCGCCGCTAGCCGTGCCAGCTCCACTGGTGTCGGCTGCTGCTCACCCGCCTCGCTTCGTGCATCGTCGCCCGGCTCCTCTGAACGCCTTTCCTGCGCCTGGCGAAGTCGTTGGTTTTCGTCACGGAGGTTGTTGACGACGCTTGTCAAATTATTCAACTGCTCCCTTAATGCTTGCAGGTCTACTGTTTCCCGGGCAGAGTTCGCAGCAGTCGAGGTTGTCTGTTCCTCAACCGTCGAGTCTACCGGGGCCATGGCGGTCAGGACGAGGCATAAACTGGCGCACACGCTGTAGTTGTTGACGTAAAAATATTTACGATCAAAGGCAACTTCTGTGCAGCCGTGTTAATCCCCTCTGACTACCCTTAACTAACTAACGGGGAAAACGGAAGGTTCCGAGAAAGGTGGGGCTCTGATACCAGCTGTTATGATTTAGAGGATGTCAATGTACTATAATGAGAATACAACGTCACTATTGCCATGAAAGCACAAGGTTATATAGGAGTGGACGTAATAGGGCGATAACCTCGGGACGTGAGTAGGTTCGGCAATGTGGCGACGCTGTCGGGCGCGACTCGAGAAAGGGTTGGGCCGAAAATGTAGGCCGAACGTGACGAGTCGAAGTGTTCGGGTGTACGCGGTAGCGGAATCTGGTTACGCTTTGGAGCGAACCCCGCGAAACTGGCGAAGAAGAGGCGGTCTTCAATCCCTCGGCATCATCTGTGCGAGCTTGTCATCCCTCTCTGTAAGCACACTGGGTGCCACACATGCTGGGTTGGATTTGGTTGATGCCAAGCAGACTTGGATGCCAAGTTGATGACGTCTTCAAGTCTCGGACAAGGGACCCTTGATTTCGGTTTCGTTTCGGAGTCACCAACTCAGCAGGATCCGTTCCCATCGCGAATAATTTCTGTCCGTCCATTCCATCGCCTACGGATTAGATGGTTGTTGTGGTCGCGCTCGTGGGGCACGTGGGGAAATTTGGTTGTTCGTAAACATCGTCCGTGCGTGCACTCTGCGGTACTCTGCACTCCGCAAGCCGCTTCCCCGATGGTTCGTCGCTCGGAACCAAATCAGATCATACCGACTAAGTATCCATCATGGACGTCACATGACGTCATTCTTACATCTCGCCTTTATTATTCAGCCCATAGTCCCTGCTGGGGGGTTCAACAAAAGTTGACTCGGAGGTTCCTTCACATTCTTTTTTACCACAAGCCGCATTCCAGTGAAGCACACTTGAAAGTTCGAGCGAAGAGTGCTACTGTGCCTACTAAAGTGTGCATCAGTCGCCGTTCCTTCAAAAGTTTGCGGAGGCCCGATCAAAGCAGATGCCATGGCCCATGGCCCATGGAAAAAAGGGGTCCGGCCTAAGTCTCAAAGTTGCGGGATCATTGCGGCGAAATTCTCCCCGCTCGCTTGCTCCTCGGGTTCCGAAAGGGAAAGAGAGACATCTACCCGGAGGGTGTCCAGATGCACTGCACCATCCCGTCACGTGACGCCGCCAAATGCCCGGGCTGGTGTCACTGGCAGGGAGTGCCACTAGTATGGTTTCAACTTGAAACGCTGCTTCAAGCAAGCAGGGTTGTCATGTGTCTGGCCAATGTCCGCAGTAGTACTGGTACAGTTCTGGAGCATCCCAAAATTTGGGAGCAGAAAATACAGAGTGGTACACATTTGGTACAGAGTAGGTACGTCAGCCACTGAAGAGCCTTGTGATACGACCAACTATAGGCCATATTTTTGGGTAGTAGCACGTGCACTACCGACTGAAGCAGCTCAAGTTGAAATTCAAGCTGGCACTGTAGCAAGCCTTCCAGAGGTTTGGTCGGACTCATCTGTTGGTCACCTGGGCTGCTGGGCTGACTGGCAACCCTGTAAGGTGCTTGAACGACTGTTCATGGCTTCAAGTTCAAGTTGTGGGTCAGTTTTGGGCTCTCACTTTTCACGTCAAGTTGTCGATGTGCATGCATGGAGAAAGGTTTTCGGCCATGCCAAGCAGCGCGTGCCAGACGCATCAAGCAGGAAGGTGTAAAAGCTCTCTTCAAGGCCTCAGTGAACAGCCATATGTCGTCGTTCCAAACTCCAATTTCTGAGCCCCATGCTTGTACAGCTATTGCTACTGCTAATACTACTAGTAGTAGTAGGCTGCTACCCATACTGAGAAGGCTACTCAGCCCCTCACCCTCCTCTGGCACTCACCCTCTCACCCTCCTCAGCCGCTCGCTCCTCCGCTAAGCTCCCATTGTGGCACATGCTGCTGATAGCTACAGGTGAAAGATAGAGCCCCTGAGCAAACTTCCCACCCGTGAGGTGATGTTGATCTAGAACTCAAAGACAACTCTGAGGACACGAAGAGTAGAATCCCTAGCCCCCGGGGGCGTCAAGCCACTCCAGGAATTTGTGTGTCAAGTCTATGCGGAGGTGATTGCGACGATTTTCGAAGCCCCGCCTCAAGAATCGACTCGCGTGGATTACGAGAATGGTGGCGAAATCCCCACACGTGGGCCATCTCTGGACTGCGGGGGTAAGGGCGCCTGTTGCGCTGTCCCCTTGCGTATTTCTCCCTTGCTTTATTTCTTCCCTTCCAAAAGTCCCGTCGTGCTTCTTTCCCCCCTTGCTTCTATCTCCCCTTCCTGTTTTTCCCATTTGGTCCCTTTCCCCTGCTCTCTCCTTGCTTCTTCTTTCTCGGGTTCTTGCTGCTGCATGTGGCGCACGGCATAAGCCCCCCCCTCCTCAACTTCATGCTGCGTGATCCCAATATTCCCCTAATCTCTGCATTCTTCCCCACCCCCTTTGATCTCAGGACGACCGAATCTTGCTGCTTCATGAAGCGGCACCCGGCACCACCTGGCACCACCAGGCAGTGGCTTTGTTCCCTTCCTCTCTGATTTCGTCTCTTCTTGCTCTACCCTGTACCCATCTCAGGAGGGCAGTACCTTGCTAATGCACGTGGCGGCACATGGGGCTTTGTTCCCCCTTCTCTCTGATTCCTTCTCTTCTTCTTCCACTCCTCACCCATCCCTTGCGGCGCATGGCATGCGGCAGTGGCGGCCCATTGCTATGGCCCTGAGTCTTCCTTTCGTGTTCCCATTCAACCCCTCTTGTCAACTCCCTGTCAACGCTCTGTCGACGCCCGCCCTGTCAACGCTCTGTCGACGCCCGCCCTGTCAACGCCCTGTCAACGCCCGGACAACGCCCTCAGGAGAACCGCACCCTTCAGCTGCACATGGCGGCGCATTTAGGCTTTCCTCAAGCAAACTTCCCACATGCTCATTCTGCCGTTCCCATGCCAGGAGGACCGGAATCTGCTGCTGCTTGCGGCTCAAGAGCTCGAGCTTCCGTCTCTCCCCAGAATCTGCTGCTGCTCGCAGCTCAAGATGATGTGCTTCCGTCTTTCCCCTCGTAATTCCCCTTCCAGGAGGATCGCACCCTACTGCCCCACGTGGTAACGCACGGCACGCAGCAGCGGCTGTGTTCCCTCTCTCAACTCCATGCTGTGTGATCCCAATGCTCTGAATACCCCTTTCAGGAAGATCGCACTTTGCTGCTCCATGTGGCAACGCACGGCACGAGGCAGTGGCGGGCCATTGCCAGGGGGGGGCTGCTGCCAGGGCGAGACAGCAAGGCATGCTGCAACCGATTCATCGTGTTGAAAAGGTTGCTAAATCCCTGACTTCATCATTGCGCTTGAGCGTGTTATCAAGTTTTTTTGTGTGCTTCGAAGGATCTACTGTGCTGAGCCTAACTAGCAGCCCTCGTTGCCTGTGCTACTTTTCCCGTGCAACAATGCAGGAAGTTCTACAAACACCAAAGGCAAAGCTTTCCATCTGAACCAGCTACGCAGGTGATTATTGGCGCTACTGCTTACCGCTGTTATCATCTGATTGCGCTGCTCACCCCCTCACTCACCCCCTCACTCACCCCCTCACTCACTCCTCACTCACCCCCTCACTCACCCCCTCACTCACCCCCTCACTCACCCCCTGACTCACCCCCTTACTCACCCCCTCACTCACCCCCTCACTCACCCCTCACTCACCCCCTTGCTTACCCTCTGCTTGTTGCAATGATGGTTGGATATTTATTTTTCCCACTCAGCTCACCTCCCCTCCGTGCTCTAACCTGGAGACATCTCAAAACTGTTCTACCCCCTTCCGATTTCTGCTCGCCTCCATGGCAGGCAGAATGCACGAATACACACGTCACTTTGACTGGGGCGGACTTTGTTGAAGCTGAAACATTTCCTTCTGATCACTGTGTTGAGACGCCGGGCGGCGCACACTGTGTGGAGGCCAATGACCACATTCACTATGGTGACTTGAGTGACACCATCGCATGTGGTGGCATGCAGCCTGTGGGGCCCTCATGCCTGCTGCCACAGAGCGGCTTGCATTGTGATGAGGTGAATGGCGGAATGCATAACAGTGACGCGAGTGGCATCATAACGAGTGATGTCATCATCAGTGGTGGCATGCAGGCAGTGGGGGCGCCATGCCCGCTGCCTCAGAGCGGCATGCCTCCATGCCTCGTGACATCACACTCCCTCTCATCATGCCTCGTGTCTTCACAGTTCCTCCCACTACACTCCCTCCCATCGCACTCCCTCCCACCACACTCCCTCCGTCCACACGTCCTCCCATCGTCACTCTCCCTCCCAGCACGCCTCTTTCCACCATACGAGCTACCAAACTCATCAAAGGCGTGCGGCGCTCGAAATGCGCCTCGTGCATCCCACTCTCTGCCCCATCATATGTTGGGGTACATCCCAAGAAAGGCTGGACGTTTGGAGCAATTGCCCCCTCATATGTTGGGGTACATCCCAAGAAAGGCTGGAGAAGCAGAGACGCATGACTCTCAGCTCAGCCCCTTCCTTCGTGCGTCATACCAACATTCATCCCCACCTACATCCCGAGATGCATCTCCCAGTCATCATCAAACTAGCCCACTTGCAAAATCTGGAAGCCAGCACATATCCCCACTCAGCCTGCCTGCTCAAGCTGGAAGCATCATGGGCCGGTCAACGGAGGCTATTGCCCATCTCGCTTCTATGCAGCTCGTAGCGTTACCAACCCCCCGGCCGAGCTCGGTGTTTCGGCATGAAGTCACGTCCGTGCCTTCACTGGCAGCAGCACCAGCAGCAGCAGCAGCAGCAGCAGCAGCAGCAGCAGCAGCAGCAGCAGCAGCAGCAGCACGATCAGCACCACCACCGCCACCACCACCAGCAGCAGCAGCAGCAGCAACAGCAACAGCAACAGCGACAGCAGTAGCAACACTGCCACCAGCAGCGGCAGCAGCAGCATCAGCAGCACCCTCAGAGCCAGGACCAGCAGCAGCAGCACGAGCAGCAGCAGCTGGGCCAGCAGCAGGAGCGCTAGGCTCCTCTGTTCCAGCAGCTTGTGAAGCTGCCATCGATCGTCACCTTTTCCAACTGTGGGAGGCAGTGACTCCTCTTCCCGCATTCCCCTCCCTGCAAACACATGTGCCACATTACCCAAGCTACAGCTCCTTTCCAATGCGAGTCCCTCCACTTGCACTTGGGGCTGCTGGTGGTGGGGAGCGTGTAGCCCCCGAAAGAGGTGTGAGCAAGGAATATCCCGAGTCGACTCGAAATACACTGGGACAAGTCCCACTGCTTGTGCTTGAAGCTGGTGGTGGTCGGGAGGGTGGAGCCACCGCAATAGGCGTGAGCAAGGAATATTTTAAGCTGAATCAAAGTACACCAGGACAAGTTCCACCGCTTGCGCTTGAGGCTGCTGGCGGTGGGAAAACGGGAATCACTGCAAGAGGCGTGAGGAAGGAAACTGGGTGGAGTGTGAACGCGGGCAGAGGGGATGGCATGGATAAGGGCATGGACAAGGGCATGGATAAGGGCATGGACAAGGGCATGGATAAGGGCATGGATAAGGGCATGGATAAGGGCATGGATAAGGGCATGGATAAGGGCATGGACAAGGGCATGAGCAGCCCCTGTTCAGCTCAATGCTATGACGGATTGAGTTGCAGTAGCCAAGGTGGCAAGCCCGACCTCTGGCGTGCTTGTGAGGTACACCTCAACCTCAGCAGGCCCGTGACAGCAGGCTGCGAGGAAAGCTGGCTTTCTGCTGATATCTGCTCGCTGCAGCAGCTGCTGCAGCAGCAGCAGCAGCTAAATGTCGAGCTTAGCAGCCTCAAGGGATTAGATCCTGGCGTCTTGACGTATGGTAATCTGCGGCCAGATGCGCTTTTTGAAGCCATGTGTGGGGGGGCTGCTCTCTGAGAGTATTTTATTGTTTGATGCTTTCTTTGTTTGTTTGTTTGTTTGTTTGTGTGTGTACATTCATGTGTAAATATTTTTCAAGTTGTTTTATAAGTTGCAAAAGTTGATTGCACTTACTGTAAGCTAAGCTCGCATGATTGTGAAGTCAAATTGACTGGTTAAAATCAAGGGCTTGCCACTTCCTTGACTACAAGGGCCGCACACCCCTGGTGCAAACACCCCCAGCGGAACCCTCAGCTGCTTCCTTGTATTCACCCTGCTGCGGGGTCTTCAGCTTATTCAATTCGCTGCTTCCTTATATTCCTCTGCACATGCTGTCTATGAGGTACATTATGCTGGCCATCCCTTGCTACTAACTGCTGCGATAATGCCCGTGGTTCATCTGTTCTTCGTGTTGCCTGTTTCCCATGCGACTTCATTGTTTTTCTGCCAGTTTTTCTTGCCTTCAATGATTTGTTTCGTCTCTTCATGCACCCATTCACCAATCCTGCTCCCCGCGGCCCAACCCCTCTCCCATCGTCGGTGACGAGCATAGTTCTCACCCTCTTTCCTCCCTTTCAATTTCAGATCGTGGTGGCTCCACGCCTCTCCTGGAGGCAGTGAAGAATGGCCACAGCAGGGCAGCACAGGCACTGCAGGCAGCCGGCGCTGCTCTCCTCCTCAAAGACCCCACCGCCACCCTCTGCCGCCCCGCTGCTGCTAAGGCAAAAGGTACCACCACCAAGAACGCAACAAACGCCACCAGCGCAAAACGTGGGTGGCTTCTCACCTATGAGGGTTTCCCAAAGGATCGATGGTTTGGCTGTTCATTGTAATTGAGCAGGCTGACTTTCCGTTTTGTCTGGCTCAGCAGTATTTCTAGTTTCATAGCAAAATCCTGAATTGTAGGGGTTAAGTATACATCGCAACATGTGATGTCTTTCGTCTGGCAATTAGTTCAGCATGACAATATTTCCAGCCAAACAATATTTTAGAGGACACTTTTCCAGGACTTCAGGTTCCAAAGCCCCCACTGCTTTCAGAATTTCCTGGTCCGGACCCTTCAAATCGTTTACATTGCGGGGAACTACCTGTCAGCATAATCGCTGTCTTCAACAAAAATCAAACTATCGAAAACAAATCATCAATAGGAAACCCCTCTAAATCTGCCAGCTTTCCAATTGCTGGCTCTACTGCCAGCACGAGTGGTGGCAGCAGTGAGCAGCTTCTGGAAGCAGGAGCAGACGTGCATGCACAGGACCATGCTGCCTGCACTGCCCCGCATGTTGCTTGCGCCAACCGCAGTATTACTGTTGTTAAAGCGAAATTCTTTCCATCTCACCTATCGAATGCATTGAGCCACACATGCTGCTCACAAGAAGTGCTTCACTACACGTCTTCTCACTCCAGCTTTTGATGTGCCCTAAGGTGCATGCCCGTACAAAGAGCATCACTTCATATTTCTCGTCTTGTCGAGACTGCCTTGTGAAACCTGCTATGAGGTACACTGTGCCAGAATACTAGAATAAGAAAAAACAAGAGAGAACAAGCAACGTATAGGGTTGGAGTTGTACTCTCTAAGAACAAACACCTATCTAGCCTATAACTTCTACATACTAACATATGTATAAGCTGGCACACACCCTAGGCTAGATAAGGGGTAGTGCTGAGCAAGAAACACGCAGCTCATGGTGGCACTACCAGTCCAACCTCTGAGGCAGGGGTCCGAAGACCAGTCAGCAAAAGTACAAACAAGGCAAGAACAAACCAAGGCGGCACTACTAGTCCGGCCACTGGAAAAAGAAACCACAAGGCCATTCTGGAAGGCATAAATATAGAGGAGTACACAATCAAGGTCCAAGCAAGTGAAAGTCTACAGGAACTAGACCAAGCTGCAAACAGTGCCGCTGATGATCTCTAGGCGCAAGCACCTTAGTAAAGATATCAGCTGTGTTGGCACCAGAGGCCAAGTGTACTACGCGGGCCTGGCGATGCTGCTGTAGCTCGCGCAGGAGGAAGTACCGCAGCTGGATGTGCTTCGCTCTGCCCTCAAGTCGAGGCTCCTGACACAGGAGGATCATGGCCTTGTTAAAAACGTACAGAACCGGGGCAGAGCTCGGCCGCTCACCTAAGTCGGCGAGCAAGAAGGTCAGCCAGCGGAGCTCCTGTGCCGTCATGGCACCGGCGTAGATCTCAGCCTCACAGCTAGACTGGGCAACGGACGAGGAGCGAGTGGACCTCCACAAGATGGCCCTTGAAACAAGGCTAAAGTAGTAGCTCTGGGAGGACCTGAGCGTCTCAGCGTCGTCTGCCCAAGAAGCGTCATTATGCTCAGTAAGGACCACTGGCCTGCGTCCTCCAAGTACTAACCCCATGCCCGATGTACTTGCTAGAAAACGCAAAACCCTCTTAGCGGCCGACCAATACTGTGGTTGGTGTCTGCCTGACGCCACAAAGCGAGCCAGGATGCTGAGAGGGTATGCGAGATCTGGACGAGTGCAAGTCATCAGGTACATGAGGCAACCCACCAGCTCTGCATAAGGACCACAAGGCTCTACTGACTCCTCAAGAACTGGAGATGAGAGCCTGTGATCTACTGGCAAAGGTGTGGGCTGTGTGGAGGAGAACTGAAGACCGAACCTCTGAAGGACCTGGCGCACCAAGTGTGACTGTGTGAGAGTGATGGTGCGCGCTGCTTTGTCCTTGGAGATCTGCAGACCAAGGTAGCAGCGCAGCTCTCCTAGGTCAGTGCACGTGTGTCTTCTTAGCAGCTCGGCCTTCACAGAGGACAATGCGTCTCTGTCTGCAGTAGCGAAGACCAGGTCGTCTACGTAAACAAGGATGTAGAACGGAGTCTGGCCAGCACGAACAAAGAGCGAAGGGTCTGCAGAGGATGGAAAGAACTGCAGGTCAGCTAGCGTGGCACGCAGCGTGTCGTGCGACTCACGGGGCGCTTGTCGCAGGCCGTAGACCGGGCGTCAGAGGAGCCACTCGGTTCCAGAAGGGAAGGTACTAGTGAAGCCCTTAGGGTTGGCGCAGGTAGACCTGCTCGTGTAGGCTGCCCTGAAGAAAAGCAGTGGAGAAGTCGAGGGAGTGTAGCAGCGCCCGAAGTGTAGCTGTGCTGCTATCTGTAGCAGCACCCGAAGTGTAGTCATCTTCGGGGTCGGGGCGAAGGTCTAAAAGAAGTCCACCCCCTCTCGCTGACTGAAGCCTCTAGCGATGTAGCGTGCCTTGAACACAGGCGGCTCTCCAGGGGGCCGCTTCACCTTGAAGAGCCACCAGCCATCGACTACGTTCACCCCAGGTGAAGGAACTGCGTCGACGTAGGTGCCAGCGGATCTCCAAGATGCCATCTCTTGCTCCATGGTAGCTATTTACTGAGAGGCACACAGTCCCGAGGTCGCCTCAGCGTAAGTGCAACGGGTCGGGATGTCAAAGGCATCTGGGTCACCCTCAGGGACTAGCAGCACGGAGCAGAGATGGGGAGCAGCCTCGGACAGGAAAGCAAGCTCGTACTGCCTATCCTCTAGGAAGTCACTGCCAAGGGCACAAGCACCCCCGACGGACGGAGGACGGAGATGGTCAGAGACCAGAGCGGTGGCGTAGTCAAGGCGGCGGGTAGAGGTGAAGTCGGCGACAGCAGCGATAAGAACGTCAAGACGCGAGAGAGGAACAGACGGGTCGGTAACAAGGGAGGCAAGGACGCGAGGAACAAGAGGATGAGCAGCACGAAGGTAGTCAGACAGAGGGGGAGGCGCGACAACGAGCGACGACGGAGGAGGGGAAGGCAGGAGGGGAGGACGAGACGCGTGGGAACGAAGCAACATAGGGTGAGAACGCTGAACAGGGGAGACAGGACGAGCACGAGAAGGACAGCGAGACCAGTTGTGAGACGGAGGCGTCGGGTCAGGAGACAAAGGAGGAGTAACAGGAGGGGAACGAGGTGGGAAACAAGCCGGTGACGAGTCCGGCGGAGGAAACAAAGGACCATGGACAGGAAGGGGAGGAGGCGACGGGGGAGGTGCAGGCGAGCGGTCAGGGGAGGAAAGGCTGAGCAGGCGAAGGGCGGACACCGGTGGCCAGCTGAGGCAGAGGCAGGCGTGGAGTAGCGGTCAACTACAGCATCTAGGAAATCCTTGGCGTTTGCGACAGTAGTGAAACGCGGACGCTCAGACAAGGGAAGCGCATGACTAATGGCAAGCTGCGCTACAGCATCGCGAGAATCCCAGACAGCGCGAGCGAGTGCAGCAGCAGCAAAGGCCTCACTCTCAGCAGTGGTGGGGTCAGCAGGGAGGGGATTAGGGGTGGAGGGGCGAGGAAGCAAGCCATCAACATGCATAGCGAGGGAGTGCCCATCCTGGCGCTAACCTGTCAGGTGCCGGCGGAGATCGACAAGCCAAGCAGTGAAGTCAATCGCATGTCCCTCCACGTCCAGACGGAGCATGGCGTCCGCCATCGCTCAACCACAGTGGCACCGGGACACACAGAGACACAGCGACTCAGTGACACAGGGGCACAGCAGCACAGGGACTCAACAGCATGGCGGCAGAACTCTCTCGAGCTAAACCGAAAGGAAGGCCAAGGAGGGCTCGCGAGGAGTAAAGGTGCACAAGGGGACGGCATGTGGAAAGGGGCCGGCAGGGCGCATGGGGCCTGAGGTGCGCAGGAAAGGGGCCGGCTAGGCGGTGGGGGCCGACTAGGTGGTAGGGGCCGGCTAGGTGGTGGGGGCCGGCTAGGTGATAGGGGCCGGCTGGGTGCAAGGGGCCGACTAGGCGCGAGGGGCCGGCTAGGCGCGAGGGGCCAGCTAGGGCGCGAGGGGCCGGTCAGGCGCGAGGGGCCAGTGAGGCGTGAGGGGCCAGCTAGGGCGCGAGGGGCCGGTTACGTGCGAGGGGCCAGCGACAGCACGAGGGGCGGGCAACTGCGCGAGGGGCCAGCTAGGACGCGAGGGGCCAGCGAAGGCGCGAGGGGCCAGCTAGGCGCGAGGGGCGGGCCGGCTGGACGCGAAGGGGCCGGCTGGGCGCGATGGGGGGCCGACGACGCGAGGGGCCAGCTAGGGCGCCAGGAGCCAGCGAAGGCGTGAGGGGCTGGCTAGGCGCGAGGGGCGGGCCGGTTGGTCGCGAAGGGGCCGGCTGGGCGCTAGGGGCGGGCGACGACGCGAGGGGCCAGCTGGGGCACGAGGGGCCAGCGAAGGCGCGAAGGGCCAGCGAAGGCGCGAGGGGCTGGCTAGGCGCGAAGGGGCCGGCTGGGCGCTAGGGGCGGGCGACGACGCGAGGGGCCAGCTGAGGCGCGAGGGGCCAGCAAAGGTGCGAGGGGCCAGCGAAGGCGCGAGGGGCTGGCGACGGCGCGAGGGGCGGGCCGGCTGGTCGCGAACGGGCCGGCTGGGCGCAAGGGGCCGGCTAGGGGGCAAGGGGCCGGCTAGGGCGCGAGGGGCCGACGGGCACGCTAGGGGGCGGCTACGGCGCGAGGGGATGGCAGGCACGCTAGGGGCCGGCGAGGCGCGGTAGGCTAGGGTGCGGGGCAGAAGCGGGTGGGGGGGACCTAACCTACGCATGATAACATGTCAGAATACTAGAATGATAATAAACAAGAGAGAACAAGTAAGGTATAGGGTTGGAGTTGTAATCTCTAAGAACAAACACCTATCTAGCCTATAACTTCTACATACTAACATATGTATAAGTTGATACACAGTTCACCATTCACCCTGCTCCCCAATCCGCCCCTACCCCCTGTCCCTCTCAACCGGACCGCATCCTTAGTTACAGCTGCTCGTGGTATATAGTGTCGATCCCCATTTGCAGGATATGAGTGGCAACACTTCCCATGACCTGGCCAAGGCCGCAGGCTCCCCTGACATGCTGAAAGAGCTTGAAAGCTAGCCGTCCACCCGACACAGTGTGCTTGTGCCGGCTGCTATGTGAGCATGTGCACAACCAAGTTAAGCCCTTTTAGGGGCTGTTTTAGGTGGGCTCAGCTGGATTTCAGCAGGCTTTGTTTTTCACCTTCACATTTTTGTTTTAGCAACACATTTATGAACACAATCTTTTGCTATGCTATGGTTGGGAATTTGATTATTATTTTATCAACTTGTTAGTAACAGCATTGATACAAGCGCTGAGTGTCAACACAGCTAATTCAGGGTGGATTTGAGTCGCATAGTTGAAAAAGTTGTCGCACAAGAACAATATCAAGATGTGAAAAAACCCAGCTGAAACGGAAACAAAAAACATTTGTTCTGCCACTTTGTAGTCCCCCCTTAGGACGATGGTCAAGTACACCGAGGTCGTTATGCGGTGCATTCGAACTACAACTTGCTGCCAAGTTTTTTTGTGTTTCAACAAGACGGAATGTGGTGAAAGGACGCTGATAACGCAAAAATGGATGCCAACGTTTTTAGAACCTGCGTGGCTCGTGTATGTTTCCTCTTTCAAAGCACGTAAATGATCCGCGAGCGGATCATTTTTTTGCGACATTCCAATTTTTGGGGCTAGGTGGGCTTGTAAGCTTGCACGGGCAGCACCATGCGACCAGCTGCAATCAATTGCGGATGGGGAGCATAGTTTGACACTCTGACGATGGTGATAACCCTTAAGTAGTTGCAATTACAACAACAATGACAACTGAAGCTTAACGTGGTTCCAACAACAACAGTTGCTAAATATTATAGTAACACCGAGTTTCAACAACAAACTGATGGAATAGATGCACTATCAGCACTAAACCCAGCTAAGACTCAAAGGCAATACATATTAATTGTCACTCGTAGCCCATTGACTTCAACCTCTTGCTCAACCTCCCCACCTCCTCACTTTCCTCCTGAGATGCACAGCCATGTGAAGGTAGTAATAAGGAAAGACATGAAGACACTCACGACACACACGACATAGACTCGACTCACTCAAACACGCATGAATAAAGGGCACACAAACTAGATGAGTTGACCTAGCACGCACACAAACGAAGTGAACAATGAATCTTCTGCACCTCGAGCCACACCATGCCGCCAACATGAACACCTTGCCACACCGTGGTGGGGGAGGGAGGAGGGGTGGGGAGGGGAGAGAGAATGGGCAGGAAAAATGGCAGCAGGGACAGGGTAAATCTAGGTCAATATGCGGGCTGCTCAGAATTTCCGCATCAATTCAGCTTCGTCAGCATAGCCATCCATGATTTCTTTTGCCTGCAGTAGGTGCTCCCTGCTAGTTGCCATGTCGGCTGAATCTTGGTCAGAGTATCCTGAAGAGGAGGTGTGGGGGGGAGGGATCTTAGTTGAGGCCCATAGAGTAGGACCACCGCGACTTCCCGCTGGCCCTCTCCAAGCGCTGAATGACATCCGCATTGCGGGTGCCAAACAGATCATTGAGGTAGAGTGGCTTGATGCAAGTTGCATGCGCGTAGGTGATGAGATGCTTGATGGCCAGCCTCTTGACCTGCCGCATGACCCGTTAGCGCTCGGGCATCTTGATCTGGAACACCTCCTCTAGCGCCGACTCGTGGAGGCGTGGCAGATAGTGGATCCACACCATCTGCCTCGCAAGTCAGATGCTCTTCGTCGCAGCAAAAGAACCCCTCCGCCGAGATCGCCTCATTGGTGAGGTCAAACTGCTCGATTTGAGCATCGACAAGCCAAAGGTGCTTGGCCTCGTCGGCAAGGTCCGAGATCTCGTACATAAGATACGGGAGGATTTTCGCATGGTGCCAACACCTTTGGACAGTGTCGGGCTCCACGCTCGTCCAAGCATCGTACAACCAACAGACAGTCTCCCACGCCTTAGGCTTCTTGCGCTTGAGCACAGAAGGGGCGGCATTGCTGTCCCACTTCTACCACAGCTCGTCGAGCTCCTTGGATCAAAAGCGCGCCTTTACAATCACGATAAACCCCTTGTCCAATGGCTAACAATAGCAGGTGGTATTGGGGGCAGATTGACAATCCGGAGGTTGCTTAGCTTTCTCGTGCGAAAGCCGCACAAGTCCTCTGTAGTCGTAGTAGGGGTGAGCAGGTTATGGGCGAAGGCGTTGTCCATGAGAACAATGGCATTCCATCCCTCGGCAAAGACTACGGCATTGATTGACTAAGAAACAGTCGTGAAGATCTGATGGGATCATGGGGGTCGCATAAATCGATAGTGGAAATTTTTTCACGATGGAGCGAAGGCACATACACCTACAACACGAGGAGAGGTTGTCGTGGGATCGGAATGATGGACAGCTGAGATGGGCGTTGCACTATTTGGGTATAGGAATGTGGGAATTTCTCACTTTTCTGGTCATCCATCCCCATAGTTTGTGGCGCCAATATGCATAAGATTCAGGTTCAAACCCGGTTTTGTTACAATTTTTTGGGGGACATGTTTTAGAGATAATCAACGACCGAAACATGTTGCTGACATCCGTGTTGTCAGTCGGTCTTTTACAACTTTCCTGCCGATGGGAGACTCCCTAACCTGGTACAACGCGGTTGCTGCCCGGGGAAGAGGGCGGTCTCATCCCAGTTGTAGAGATTGCGGGGTGACACTCCTTGCATGTCGATCAACTGAGACAAGCGATGGAGGCAGAGGTCGACGACGGCCTTGTCGACGTCAAAAGCCTCACCCTTGCGCGTGAGGCCTTTGAATCCCATGCGCCGTGTGGCATGTCCAGTTAAGCAAGCGATCAAACAACGACAACACTCCATATTACGACGATCGTGAGGGGGATGCTGGCGTCCTCAGCGCTCTTCGCCCACCCCTTTAGTTCACTTTCGAGACAAGGATATTTCCCTTTTTGCATGCGGATATGCTCACTCCTTGATGCTGTTGTTCCCTTCCACTTAACTGCCTTGCGGACTATGTGTCCCACAATGCTCATGTCAGGCACACTGACGTAGCGGGTGAAACACCAGCGAGCCAAGTACTCCTGGCACAGATGGACGTGGCTCTTTGCATGGTAGCAGATTTCCACCTTTGTTGCAAGTGGATTTTGTGCCCTCATGGGCAGGCGAGGCAGGCAGCATGAGCGAGGGCTCGTCATTTTGCCAAGGAGAGGACGTGGCGATGTTTGACTCGCTTCTTTCCTCAAGTATGGCTTGCATGTCTCGAGGACCACCTAAAAATCTTGACTACGTGGCCAGCTATGTGGCTCACGAATCTGGAGATTGGGGTTCTCTGGAACATTCAGTGAGCACGTGACATACAGTTAGCGCATTGGCTCAAGATAAGGCTCCACGGGTCTTTGTTCGACTAACGTTTGCTTGACAATGTGATCTACACAAGTATCCCTATTGGTGAACGCATGATGTGCACACAATACGTACAAGCCACATTGCGAATCGCTTCATTTTGCACAGCTTCATTTTGCACAATACGTACAAGCCACACAAGTATCCCTATTGGTGAACGCATGATGTGCACACAATACGTACAAGCCAGCACATATCCCCACTCAGCCTGCCTGCTCAAGCTGGAAGCATCATGGGCCGGTCAACGGAGGCTATTGCCCATCTCGCTTCTATGCAGCTCGTAGCGTTACCAACCCCCCGGCCGAGCTCGGTGTTTCGGCATGAAGTCACGTCCGTGCCTTCACTGGCAGCAGCACCAGCAGCAGCAGCAGCAGCAGCAGCAGCAGCAGCAGCAGCAGCAGCAGCAGCAGCACGATCAGCACCACCACCGCCACCACCACCAGCAGCAGCAGCAGCAGCAACAGCAACAGCAACAGCGACAGCAGTAGCAACACTGCCACCAGCAGCAGCAGCAGCATCAGCAGCACCCTCAGAGCCAGGACCAGCAGCAGCAGCACGAGCAGCAGCAGCTGGGCCAGCAGCAGGAGCGCTAGGCTCCTCTGTTCCAGCAGCTTGTGAAGCTGCCATCGATCGTCACCTTTTCCAACTGTGGGAGGCAGTGACTCCTCTTCCCGCATTCCCCTCCCTGCAAACACATGTGCCACATTACCCAAGCTACAGCTCCTTTCCAATGCGAGTCCCTCCACTTGCACTTGGGGCTGCTGGTGGTGGGGAGCGTGTAGCCCCCGAAAGAGGTGTGAGCAAGGAATATCCCGAGTCGACTCGAAATACACTGGGACAAGTCCCACTGCTTGTGCTTGAAGCTGGTGGTGGTCGGGAGGGTGGAGCCACCGCAATAGGCGTGAGCAAGGAATATTTTAAGCTGAATCAAAGTACACCAGGACAAGTTCCACCGCTTGCGCTTGAGGCTGCTGGCGGTGGGAAAATGGGAATCACTGCAAGAGGCGTGAGGAAGGAAACTGGGTGGAGTGTGAACGCGGGCAGAGGGGATGGCATGGATAAGGGCATGGACAAGGGCATGGATAAGGGCATGGACAAGGGCATGGATAAGGGCATGGATAAGGGCATGGATAAGGGCATGGATAAGGGCATGGATAAGGGCATGGACAAGGGCATGAGCAGCCCCTGTTCAGCTCAATGCTATGACGGATTGAGTTGCAGTAGCCAAGGTGGCAAGCCCGACCTCTGGCGTGCTTGTGAGGTACACCTCAACCTCAGCAGGCCCGTGACAGCAGGCTGCGAGGAAAGCTGGCTTTCTGCTGATATCTGCTCGCTGCAGCAGCTGCTGCAGCAGCAGCAGCAGCTAAATGTCGAGCTTAGCAGCCTCAAGGGATTAGATCCTGGCGTCTTGACGTATGGTAATCTGCGGCCAGATGCGCTTTTTGAAGCCATGTGTGGGGGGGCTGCTCTCTGAGAGTATTTTATTGTTTGATGCTTTCTTTGTTTGTTTGTTTGTTTGTTTGTGTGTGTACATTCATGTGTAAATATTTTTCAAGTTGTTTTATAAGTTGCACTTACTGTACATTCATGTGCAAAAGTTGATTGCACTTACTGTAAGCTAAGCTCGCATGATTGTGAAGTCAAATTGATTGCACTTACTGTAAGCTAAGCTCGCATGTGTGTGTACATTCATGTGCAAAAGTTGATTGCACTTACTGTAAGCTAAGCTCGCATGATTGTGAAGTCAAATTGACTGGTTAAAATCAAGGGCTTGCCACTTCCTTGACTACAAGGGCCGCACACCCCTGGTGCAAACACCCCCAGCGGAACCCTCAGCTGCTTCCTTGTATTCACCCTGCTGCGGGGTCTTCAGCTTATTCAATTCGCTGCTTCCTTATATTCCTCTGCACATGCTGTCTATGAGGTACATTATGCTGGCCATCCCTTGCTACTAACTGCTGCGATAATGCCCGTGGTTCATCTGTTCTTCGTGTTGCCTGTTTCCCATGCGACTTCATTGTTTTTCTGCCAGTTTTTCTTGCCTTCAATGATTTGTTTCGTCTCTTCATGCACCCATTCACCAATCCTGCTCCCCGCGGCCCAACCCCTCTCCCATCGTCGGTGACGAGCATAGTTCTCACCCTCTTTCCTCCCTTTCAATTTCAGATCGTGGTGGCTCCACGCCTCTCCTGGAGGCAGTGAAGAATGGCCACAGCAGGGCAGCACAGGCACTGCAGGCAGCCGGCGCTGCTCTCCTCCTCAAAGACCCCACCGCCACCCTCTGCCGCCCCGCTGCTGCTAAGGCAAAAGGTACCACCACCAAGAACGCAACAAACGCCACCAGCGCAAAACGTGGGTGGCTTCTCACCTATGAGGGTTTCCCAAAGGATCGATGGTTTGGCTGTTCATTGTAATTGAGCAGGCTGACTTTCCGTTTTGTCTGGCTCAGCAGTATTTCTAGTTTCATAGCAAAATCCTGAATTGTAGGGGTTAAGTATACATCGCAACATGTGATGTCTTTCGTCTGGCAATTAGTTCAGCATGACAATATTTCCAGCCAAACAATATTTTAGAGGACACTTTTCCAGGACTTCAGGTTCCAAAGCCCCCACTGCTTTCAGAATTTCCTGGTCCGGACCCTTCAAATCGTTTACATTGCGGGGAACTACCTGTCAGCATAATCGCTGTCTTCAACAAAAATCAAACTATCGAAAACAAATCATCAATAGGAAACCCCTCTAAATCTGCCAGCTTTCCAATTGCTGGCTCTACTGCCAGCACGAGTGGTGGCAGCAGTGAGCAGCTTCTGGAAGCAGGAGCAGACGTGCATGCACAGGACCATGCTGCCTGCACTGCCCCGCATGTTGCTTGCGCCAACCGCAGTATTACTGTTGTTAAAGCGAAATTCTTTCCATCTCACCTATCGAATGCATTGAGCCACACATGCTGCTCACAAGAAGTGCTTCACTACACGTCTTCTCACTCCAGCTTTTGATGTGCCCTAAGGTGCATGCCCGTACAAAGAGCATCACTTCATATTTCTCGTCTTGTCGAGACTGCCTTGTGAAACCTGCTATGAGGTACACTGTGCCAGAATACTAGAATAAGAAAAAACAAGAGAGAACAAGCAACGTATAGGGTTGGAGTTGTACTCTCTAAGAACAAACACCTATCTAGCCTATAACTTCTACATACTAACATATGTATAAGCTGGCACACACCCTAGGCTAGATAAGGGGTAGTGCTGAGCAAGAAACACGCAGCTCATGGTGGCACTACCAGTCCAACCTCTGAGGCAGGGGTCCGAAGACCAGTCAGCAAAAGTACAAACAAGGCAAGAACAAACCAAGGCGGCACTACTAGTCCGGCCACTGGAAAAAGAAACCACAAGGCCATTCTGGAAGGCATAAATATAGAGGAGTACACAATCAAGGTCCAAGCAAGTGAAAGTCTACAGGAACTAGACCAAGCTGCAAACAGTGCCGCTGATGATCTCTAGGCGCAAGCACCTTAGTAAAGATATCAGCTGTGTTGGCACCAGAGGCCAAGTGTACTACGCGGGCCTGGCGATGCTGCTGTAGCTCGCGCAGGAGGAAGTACCGCAGCTGGATGTGCTTCGCTCTGCCCTCAAGTCGAGGCTCCTGACACAGGAGGATCATGGCCTTGTTAAAAACGTACAGAACCGGGGCAGAGCTCGGCCGCTCACCTAAGTCGGCGAGCAAGAAGGTCAGCCAGCGGAGCTCCTGTGCCGTCATGGCACCGGCGTAGATCTCAGCCTCACAGCTAGACTGGGCAACGGACGAGGAGCGAGTGGACCTCCACAAGATGGCCCTTGAAACAAGGCTAAAGTAGTAGCTCTGGGAGGACCTGAGCGTCTCAGCGTCGTCTGCCCAAGAAGCGTCATTATGCTCAGTAAGGACCACTGGCCTGCGTCCTCCAAGTACTAACCCCATGCCCGATGTACTTGCTAGAAAACGCAAAACCCTCTTAGCGGCCGACCAATACTGTGGTTGGTGTCTGCCTGACGCCACAAAGCGAGCCAGGATGCTGAGAGGGTATGCGAGATCTGGACGAGTGCAAGTCATCAGGTACATGAGGCAACCCACCAGCTCTGCATAAGGACCACAAGGCTCTACTGACTCCTCAAGAACTGGAGATGAGAGCCTGTGATCTACTGGCAAAGGTGTGGGCTGTGTGGAGGAGAACTGAAGACCGAACCTCTGAAGGACCTGGCGCACCAAGTGTGACTGTGTGAGAGTGATGGTGCGCGCTGCTTTGTCCTTGGAGATCTGCAGACCAAGGTAGCAGCGCAGCTCTCCTAGGTCAGTGCACGTGTGTCTTCTTAGCAGCTCGGCCTTCACAGAGGACAATGCGTCTCTGTCTGCAGTAGCGAAGACCAGGTCGTCTACGTAAACAAGGATGTAGAACGGAGTCTGGCCAGCACGAACAAAGAGCGAAGGGTCTGCAGAGGATGGAAAGAACTGCAGGTCAGCTAGCGTGGCACGCAGCGTGTCGTGCGACTCACGGGGCGCTTGTCGCAGGCCGTAGACCGGGCGTCAGAGGAGCCACTCGGTTCCAGAAGGGAAGGTACTAGTGAAGCCCTTAGGGTTGGCGCAGGTAGACCTGCTCGTGTAGGCTGCCCTGAAGAAAAGCAGTGGAGAAGTCGAGGGAGTGTAGCAGCGCCCGAAGTGTAGCTGTGCTGCTATCTGTAGCAGCACCCGAAGTGTAGTCATCTTCGGGGTCGGGGCGAAGGTCTAAAAGAAGTCCACCCCCTCTCGCTGACTGAAGCCTCTAGCGATGTAGCGTGCCTTGAACACAGGCGGCTCTCCAGGGGGCCGCTTCACCTTGAAGAGCCACCAGCCATCGACTACGTTCACCCCAGGTGAAGGAACTGCGTCGACGTAGGTGCCAGCGGATCTCCAAGATGCCATCTCTTGCTCCATGGTAGCTATTTACTGAGAGGCACACAGTCCCGAGGTCGCCTCAGCGTAAGTGCAACGGGTCGGGATGTCAAAGGCATCTGGGTCACCCTCAGGGACTAGCAGCACGGAGCAGAGATGGGGAGCAGCCTCGGACAGGAAAGCAAGCTCGTACTGCCTATCCTCTAGGAAGTCACTGCCAAGGGCACAAGCACCCCCGACGGACGGAGGACGGAGATGGTCAGAGACCAGAGCGGTGGCGTAGTCAAGGCGGCGGGTAGAGGTGAAGTCGGCGACAGCAGCGATAAGAACGTCAAGACGCGAGAGAGGAACAGACGGGTCGGTAACAAGGGAGGCAAGGACGCGAGGAACAAGAGGATGAGCAGCACGAAGGTAGTCAGACAGAGGGGGAGGCGCGACAACGAGCGACGACGGAGGAGGGGAAGGCAGGAGGGGAGGACGAGACGCGTGGGAACGAAGCAACATAGGGTGAGAACGCTGAACAGGGGAGACAGGACGAGCACGAGAAGGACAGCGAGACCAGTTGTGAGACGGAGGCGTCGGGTCAGGAGACAGAGGAGGAGTAACAGGAGGGGAACGAGGTGGGAAACAAGCCGGTGACGAGTCCGGCGGAGGAAACAAAGGACCATGGACAGGAAGGGGAGGAGGCGACGGGGGAGGTGCAGGCGAGCGGTCAGGGGAGGAAAGGCTGAGCAGGCGAAGGGCGGACACCGGTGGCCAGCTGAGGCAGAGGCAGGCGTGGAGTAGCGGTCAACTACAGCATCTAGGAAATCCTTGGCGTTTGCGACAGTAGTGAAACGCGGACGCTCAGACAAGGGAAGCGCATGACTAATGGCAAGCTGCGCTACAGCATCGCGAGAATCCCAGACAGCGCGAGCGAGTGCAGCAGCAGCAAAGGCCTCACTCTCAGCAGTGGTGGGGTCAGCAGGGAGGGGATTAGGGGTGGAGGGGCGAGGAAGCAAGCCATCAACATGCATAGCGAGGGAGTGCCCATCCTGGCGCTAACCTGTCAGGTGCCGGCGGAGATCGACAAGCCAAGCAGTGAAGTCAATCGCATGTCCCTCCACGTCCAGACGGAGCATGGCGTCCGCCATCGCTCAACCACAGTGGCACCGGGACACACAGAGACACAGCGACTCAGTGACACAGGGGCACAGCAGCACAGGGACTCAACAGCATGGCGGCAGAACTCTCTCGAGCTAAACCGAAAGGAAGGCCAAGGAGGGCTCGCGAGGAGTAAAGGTGCACAAGGGGACGGCATGTGGAAAGGGGCCGGCAGGGCGCATGGGGCCTGAGGTGCGCAGGAAAGGGGCCGGCTAGGCGGTGGGGGCCGACTAGGTGGTAGGGGCCGGCTAGGTGGTGGGGGCCGGCTAGGTGATAGGGGCCGGCTGGGTGCAAGGGGCCGACTAGGCGCGAGGGGCCGGCTAGGCGCGAGGGGCCAGCTAGGGCGCGAGGGGCCGGTCAGGCGCGAGGGGCCAGTGAGGCGTGAGGGGCCAGCTAGGGCGCGAGGGGCCGGTTACGTGCGAGGGGCCAGCGACAGCACGAGGGGCGGGCAACTGCGCGAGGGGCCAGCTAGGACGCGAGGGGCCAGCGAAGGCGCGAGGGGCCAGCTAGGCGCG